GGTAGGGAGCTGGGCTGTGGGCCTTGCCTGCCTCTGCCTCCTACACTGCAGTGGTTCTCAACCTGTGGGTCCCCAGATGTTGTTGGACTACAACTCCCATCATCCCTGAGCTCTGGCCTTCCTAGCTAGGGGTGATGGGAGTTGTAGTTCAACAACATCTGGGGACCCACAGGTTGAGAAAGGCTGTCCTAGAGCATCCCTCCTGCTGCTCCCTACGCCCCAGAGCCTGCCATGTTCGTGGGATGGGGCCCCTCTGACTGGTGATGGGTCCCACTCCTCGGGTACCTGTGCCCCGACCCCCATCCCCTCACCATCCTCCGTCACCCTGGGAGTACCTCCTTCCCCATCCCCTGCTGCCCCAGTGCGTCCCAGTCCCCTCACTGGGATCCTCTCCCCCCTCCCTGTCATCCTGCTGGTTCATGACAGGTTGCATCCCATGTGAGTCCCGCAGACATTGGACCCACTGGCCTTAATGAAAGTCCTTCTTCGCGCAAGATGTAGTTAACCTACGGAACTCTCTCCCACAGGAAGCAGTTACAGTCACCAACCTAGGCAAACTTGTGGAGGAAAAAGATTATCAGTGGCCACTAGCCACCATGGCTACACCATGACTCCAACTTCAGAGGCAGCTCTTCAGAGGTTCCTATGGGTCCAGAAATTTTTCGGAATCCCCAGTTGAAATATCTCTTTCCCTCCCTCCCTCCTATGGTTCTGCAAAACAAGATGGTTATTATTATTTTTCAGAGTTCTGACACTCCACCCACCACGTTTAAATAACATGAGATTTAAATGTGTGTGGGGGGGTTGTTCCGTCATTTTCCTCCCTTTCATTAATGTTTTGCCTGACCCTGGCAGAAACAGAACAGCGGCAGGCTCTGGAGATAAATGACAGCCTGACAAAACAATGGGAGAAAAAGGATGCAATGTTTTGTTTTCAAAGAAAAATGAAAATAAATAAACCGAGCGGGTGGAATCCCCCCTCCCTTTTGTTTGGATCAGTTGCATTCCATGGATGCAGCTCAGAGAGACAGAAAATCTCCAGGTTCTTTTCCCAAACAGCCACAAACACACACCAAAGGTGGGATTTGCACAGAGAGCAGAGCCCCTCCAACATTTCTCCAAGGAAAATAGGGATGTCCTATTTCATTAAAAAAGGGACGCAGGTGGTGCTGTGGGTTAAACCACAGAGCCTAGGGCTTGCTGATCAGAAGGTAGGCAGTTTGAATCCCCACAACGGGGTGAGCTCCCACTGCTCGGTCCCTGCTCCTGCCAACCTAGTAGTTCGAAAGCACAAAGTGCAAGTAGATAAATAGGTACCACTCCGGCAGGAAGGTAAATGGCTTTTCCGTGCGCTGCTCTGGTTCGGCAGAAGCGGCTTAGTCCTGCTGGCCACATGACCCGGAAGCTGTACGCCGGCTCTCTCAGCCAGTAAAGCGAGATGAGCGCCGCAACCCCAGAGTCGGCCACGACTGGACCTAATGGTCAGGGGTCCCTTTATAGGTAAAGGTAAAGGTACCCCTGCCCGTACGGGCCAGTCTTGACAGACTCTATGGTTGTGCGCCCATCTCACTCTAGAGGCCGGGGGCCAGCGCTGTCCGGAGACACTTCCGGGTCACGTGGCCAGCGTGACATCGCTGCTCTGGCGAGCCAGCACCAGCGCAGCACACGGAAACGCTGTTTACCTTCCCGCTAGTAAGCGGTCCCTATTTATCTACTTGCACCCGGGGGTGCTTTCGAACTGCTAGGTTGGCAGGCGCTGGGACCGAGCAACGGGAGCGCACCCTGCCGTGGGGATTCGAACTGCCGACCTTTCGATCGGCAAGCCCTAGGCGCTGAGGCTTTTACCCACAGTGCCACCCGCATCCCTAGGGGTCCCTTTACCTTTACCTTTATTTCATAAAAATAGTAATGATAATAATTTTATTATTTATACCCCGCCCATCTGACTAGGTTGCCCCAGCCACTCTGGGCAGCTTCCAACATATATATAAACAGAATAAAACATTAAGCTTTAAAAAACTTCCCCATAGCGCCATACCCTCCACCATTTCTCTGATGAAAATAGGAACGTCCTAAGGAAAAGCAGGGTCAGATCAAAAAACTGGGGCAGCTTCTGTAAATCTGGGACTGTCCCTGGAAAATAGGGAGACTTGGAGGGTCTGAGAGAGGCTCCCGGGTTCAGTTCACAGTGTGTGGTACGAAGTGCCCAGCATCAGATTTTGGGCTGCTTTCAGCTGAATTGCAATGCTATTCAAGCCGCTGAGATCCTAAGACCCTAAAAACCTAAGAAGGGCCTTTTGGATCAGACCAATGGTCCCTTTGGTCCAGCCTCCTGTTCTCACAGTGGCCAAACAGATACCTCAATGTGAAACCCTCACGCAGGATCTGAGCCCAAGAGCTCCCCCCCCCCAGGAGACAGCAGTGGCCACTGACCTGGATGGCTTTAAAAGAGGACTGAGCATATTCACGGAGCAGGAGAGAGTGATTGATGGCTACTAGGCAGGATGAGTACACTCTGCTTCCACAGTCAGGCAGAGCTGCTTCTGAATAATAATAATAATAATAATAATAATAATAATAATAATAATAATTTATTTGTACCCCGCCCATCTGGCTGGGTTTCCCCAGCCACTCTGGGCAGCTTCCAACAAAGATTAAAAATACATTAAAATGTCACACATTAAAAGCTTCCCTAAACAGGGCTGCCTTCAGACGTCTTCTAAATGTCCGGTAGTTGTTTTTCTCTTTGACATCTGGTGTGAGGGTGTTCCACAGGGTGGGTGCCACCACTGAGAAGGCCCTCTGCCTGGTTCCCTGTAGCTTTGCTTCTCGCTATGAGGGAACCGCCAGAAGGCCCTTGGCGCTGGACCTCAGCGTCTGGGCAGAATGAGGGGGGTGGAGACGCTCCTTCAGGTCTACTGGGCCGAGGCTGTTCTTATGATTCAAGGAACATTTCAGAAGCCTTTGGACATCACCAGATGAAGTCCTTCATTTCTCCTGTCCCTAAATTAATCTAGTCTAGGGAGAAGCAGAAGTTGGGTGTCCACCTGTCATGGCTGCTTTAGCATTTCAGCGGGTTAGACTAGATGACTCTTGGGGTACCTTGCAACTCTACAGTTCTATGATTCTAAGGTACAGAGGAACACAAACCCATTTGTGCTACATGGAACTTTGTGATATTAATTTATGGAGTTCAATTCTGGTACGGAAACCTGTTCCTACGAGCTTTTTTTGTTTTGTTTTGTTTTGTTTTGTTGTTGTTTGTTCCCATGAGCTGTTGCTGTATTTTCGCTCTGATATCATAGTTGGCTACATTTTCCTATAAGTAAATCTGTGAGAAACGGAAAGGTAGAGTGTGAAGTAAATTATTCCCTATTCTGCCTCCCTCCCGGACTCTTCAGCTTGAGACCGAGGTGGCCGGCGCCAGACAGAGAGAAGCGGTAACCTGAGCAGCGAGGCGACGGCAGGTATCGCTTACTCACACGGTGTGAGGCTTGAAGTGGGACAAAGGGGTGATATGGGCCACTGACAGGTGAGCTGGGCCTGGCAGGGATGATGGGCGTGGAGAGGTCAGGGCAGGCAGAAGGGAATCACCACAAACTTTTATTGCACCAGCCGAAGGCCACGGCATCGTCCAAAAACAAGGCAGGCAAAAGGTGAAGTGGGGGAAATCCTACATCCAGCCACTGGATCCTATTTTATTTTATTTTATTTTTATACCACCCTTCATCCTAAGATTATTACTAAAACCATTGTTATTATTCAAACTGATGGAGGCCTTAGCTGAGATTCCTGCATTGAAGGGGGCTGGCAAAACCCAGCCAGATGAGTGAGTAAAATTATTATTATTATTACTATTATTATTATTATTACTATTACTATTGATCATGATGGCAGCGAACTGGAGTCAAGAACAAAGAAAGTGGATTCTAAAGCAGTATACCAGCTTTTTGGCCACCCTGTATAAGTTGGTGTCCGTCCTTGCCTCCTGTGGCGGAGAGTTCCGCAGTATAACGATGCGATGCCGCATGCAGACTGAATCATATAATCCTAGAGTTGGAATAGACCACAAGGGCCATCGAGTCCAACCCCCTGCCAAGCAGGAAACACCATCAGAGCACTCCTGACATATGGTTGTCAAGCCTCTGCTTAAAGACCTCCAAAGAAGGAGACTCCACCACACTCCTTGGCAGCAAATTCCACTGTCGAACAGCTCTTACTGTCAGGAAGTTCTTCCTAATGTTTAGGTGGAATCTTCTTTCTTGTAGTTTGGATCCATTGCTCCGTGTCCGCTTCTCTGGAGCAGCAGAAAACAGCCTTTCTCCCTCCTCTATGTGACATCCTTTTATATATTTGTACATGGCTATCATATCACCCCTTAACCTCCTCTTCTCCAGGCTAAACATGCCCAGCTCCCTTAGCCGTTCCTCATAAGGCATCGTTTCCAGGCCTTTGACCATTTTGGTTGCCCTCCTCTGGACACGTTCCAGTTTGTCAGTGTCCTTCTTGAACTGTGGTGCCCAGAACTGGACACAGTACTCCAGGTGAGGTCTGACCAGAGCAGAATACAGTGGCACTCTTACTTCCCTTGATCTAGATGCTATACTCCTATTGATGCAGCCCAGAATTGCATTGGCTTTTTTAGCTGCCGCGTCACACTGTTGGCTCATGTCAAGTTTGTGGTCAACCAAGACTCCTAGATCCTTTTCACATGTACTGCTCTCAAGCCAGGTGCATCTCATAGACCCGCTTGTGAACACCAGCAGGCGCCTCGCAGGGTCGGTCTGTAGAACCCCAGCACCCTCCGTAAGAAGGAACCCCCAGAATCAAGACCTCCAATTTTTATTTTTATTTATGGGGAAAACCCAACCCGCTTCGCCGCCTTCCTTTAGAGCCGCGCTCTTCTACCGCCACCTAGTGGCCAAGTTGAGATTAGGTCAAACGTGGATATTTCTTTATTTTTCCGTTTTGAACTGAGCTTGCAAACTGGTCCCTTTAAGACTCGCCCCCGGGCGCAGGAAGCAGGAAGCACGTGGAGCCAGAGAGCAAGTTCCTCCTGTTTTCTTCCAGTGGCTTTTCAATCCCAGTTGCGCTTCTTCTGCCTCTCAGACAGAGACGAAGAACATAGATATGCCGCAGAGATTATATTTGCAAGAAGCGGCGCGGGTGGCTTCTTAGATCCCGGCACCGACAGCTCCTCTCCCAAATCTTTCGCAGGTTGGTACAGGGGAGGAAGGTTGCCAATGTCTGCTTTACCCTCTGCTCCTCCGCCTGGCCTTTTTCTCCGCTGCAAACCGGGCAGCGCGCGGAGGATCTGGAAATTAAGATTCCTGCAAATTAAGTGGCTGTTAATTAAATAGGCCACAGGAACAGATCCAGGGCGTGTGCTTGTTTTTGTGCGTTTTTCCTGGTACGTTGGCAACCCCTCTCAGCGGTTCTCAAGCTGTGGGTCCCCAGATGTTGTTGGACTACAACTCCCATCATCCCTGAGCTCTGGCCTTGCTAGCTAGGGGTGATGGGAGTTGTAGTTCAACAACCTCTGGGGACCCACAGGTGGAGAAAGGCTGCTAGATTGAGGAGAGGTGGCAAAAACGAGGGGTCTCTAGTCTTGGCCCCCTGGGTTTGCTTTCCTGGGGGTAAACCCCATTAACCACAGGTTTGCGTGTGCGGGTCTAGTTTTGAAGCGACGTTTACGAAGAGAAGTTTACGGGGGGGGGGGACAGTTTCAGAAGTTGTGTGGCTTTGTTTCTCAATTTGATCCTATTACATGGTTTTGTATGTATCACGGTATTTTACGCATGTGACCTGCAGTTATTTTTATTGATCATAGTTTGTTAATTGTTTATTGCAATTCTTCAGTGAATTTCTATTTAATTATCATTTGCTGATGTTTTGAGGGTAAATTTTATTGGGTACTATTATATTCTAATCAACTATTGAACATTACGTTATTTGATATAAGTCGTATTTTAAAGTTACGCTTTATTACAGCTTTTGTACTGGATCAGATTACATAAGGCATGTGTTCTTTGTGGTATACAGTATTTTGTTGCTGTAAACTGCAATATAGAATAATAATAAATAATAGATTTTTCTTTATACCCCACCCTTTCCTGTTCAGAAAGGGGGTATACAAATTAAAAGTGAAATGAAATACGGGAACCGGCCTTATTGCTGATCCAACTCGTTCAGTATTGTCTGTATGGAGAACAGATGCTCTCAACCAGGGTTTCCCAAATTGGGTCTCCAGCTGTTTTGGAACTACAACTCCCATCACCCCTAGCTAGCAGGACCAGTGGTCAGGGATGATGGGAATTGTAGTGCAAAAAAACCATCCTGAGACCCAAGTTTGGGAAACGCTGGTCTGGACAGTGCTGGTGCTAAGGAGCTGGGAAAGAGGCACAGATTGCAAAAGGGGACATGTTTTTGGCATCCGTCTCTCTCAAGAGACAATGGAGTGCGCCTCTGGGGGTGAAGCCAAACCACGGCGTGAACAGCACCAGTGACCTCCTTGGGGCGCAAGCCTGGGCCGTGTTTCTGGAGGTCCGGATGTGGTCCAAAAGTAATTAAGAGCAAGACATTGGGCACCAGCTGGGCTGCAGGAGTTGCCGGAAGGAGGCGGACAAGGAGCCATCCAACTGCCTTAGGGACTCCTCTCTGAATTTGTCTTGGGTTTACTCCTGAGCCTTTTCTCTCCCAAAGATGTCCTATAAGGCAGTGGAGGTTTAGGATCAGAGTCTTCCTTCTCCCTGATGGACTCTCTTCCCAGGTGGACAAGCCCCACTGGCCCCTCACTTCACTCTACAAGGGCTTCTTGACCGTTGGACCCCCTCCGCTCAATCTTTCTGAGCCTGTCACCTGGTTTAGTCAGCCAGTGGGGACAAGGAAAAAGAGAAATATGAGTTTTTGTTTTTATTTAACATGATTTATATGCTGCTCTAGGGACGCTGGTGGCGCTGCGGGTTAAACCACAGAGCCTAGGACTTGCCGATCAGAAGATTGGTAGTTCGAATCCCCGCGACGGGGTGAGCTCCCGTTGCTCGGTCCCTGCTCCTGCCAACCTAGCAGTTCGAAAGCATGTCAAAGTGCAAGTAGATAAATAGGTACCACTCTGGCAGGAAGGTAAACGGCGTTTCCATGCGCTGCTCTAGTTCGCCAGAAGCAGCTTAGTCCTGCTGGCCACATGACCCGGAAGCTGTATGCCGGCTCCCTTGGCCAATAAAGCGAGATGAGCGCCGCAACTCCAGAGTTGGACACGACTGGACCTAATGGTCAGGGGTCCCTTTATATGCTGCTCTCAGGTGGGAAGTTCTCTTCCAAATAAAAGCATCATCTGGTGGGCAGCCCCCCCTCTCTCCCCTGCCTCTTCTTTGATCAGGGATTGCAAATACCTGCAGGGACTCCAGAAGCCACCATTATCACTGACCATTGGACAAACTGGTCTCTGGGAGTCGGAGGTTGGCGGTTTCATTCCCAAAATGATTAACTTAATTCCATCCCGTTCCATCTTGGTCCTCCTTTAACCAGGTAGCTGTGGTTGGAAGAACGTAGGCACACACCTGTTGGGTTTCTGCCTGCATCTCGGCCTGTACATTCCTGCACTTGGGTTGCCAACTGGCTGGTGTCACGATGGCAGCGACATCCTTGATTTGCTCCGGGACGGTGAGCAGGTGAGAGATTTTTTTGCTGTCCGCTGAAGATGCAAATTAAAGAACTGAATGTAGGTAGGAATGATCATTGTAGCAAAAGTAATTGTCAGTAATAGCAACATGATAGTGATAGTAATTTCTATAGTTCGGCTTCAGATCGCTCAGTTAGTAAAGCATGGGATTCTTAATCTTGGGGTCATGGGTTGAAGTTCCAGGGTTCAAGTCCCTGCAAGGCCTGGGTTCAAATCTCTCACCCTCTACTCAGCCATGAAGTTCACTGGGTGTCCTTGTGAGCCAGTCACAGTCACCTTGACCTGCCTCACAGGGTGGTTGTAAAGATAGAAAAATGGGAGCGGAACCTCGTGTGCCACCTTGAACTCTGTGAAGGAAAGTTTGGATGCTAATGTACTAATAAATAAACTTTTAAAATGTCTTGTTTAGTATATCTTTTCATCCCATTTTCCTTCCAGATGTGTTTGAGGTGGCTTATGGGATAGATTTTTTATTTTAAAAATCATAAGCATGCGTAGTTTTCTCTTTCCTCCCCCCGCTTCTCCCTCCTCCTAAGCGGGTTGGGCTTGATGACCTTGTGGGGTCCATCCCAACTCCTAATGGCTTCTGAGAAAGCCCGTCTGCAGTGCTTTTGTGCATTTTTGCAGGGTCAGCTCCGTGCTCAACCGAGACGTGAAGCAGTTTGGGAAGAAGTTTATGTTTGATGGGAATGAGGAGACTTGCTGGAACTCAGATCAGGTGAGATGCAAGAGAAAAAACTGCAGTGCTGGCAAAATAATACCAATATTAATTTTGATGGGAATTGTAGTCCCAAACATCTGGAGGGCCGGAGTTTGCCTATGCCTGGTCCAGAGTTTAGGGTCACATGTTGATAAAGCTCTGAACTCCTCGTTTCCCCAGGGAAGGGCTCCTTGAAGTATTTTTTGCATTGCCTGGGGGAGGGTGTGGAAATTAAAAAATTGCAATTTTGGGTTTTTAATTCCTCTCCTTGAGCTAAAAGGTTTGTCCCTGATTGACAGCTGCTGTTGGTTTCTGCTGTTGGTCTTAGGGTGCCACCCAGTGGTTGACGCTGGAATTTCCGCAGGCCGTCCGGGCGTCCCAGGTCCAGATCCAATTTCAGGGGGGATTTGCAAGCCAGAAGTGTGTTGTGCAAGGTAAGGACAGCGGCAGAGGCAGCAGTTGCAAGACTCCTTCGTGGCTTGCTAGTAAAGCTGAATGGCTGCGTTGCGAAATGCTGCATGTCTAAAAAGTGTGTCACCAACATGGAAAGTTTGGAAAGCTCTGCTGTGGACAGTATGAGGTTGGGGGACATGGTAAACTTCCATTTTTTTTACATAGTGTGCATGCAAGGTTTATGTATCAGCGTCAGGCAAGTAGGTCCTTCTTCCATTCATTTATCAGTTTTCGTTGGCCGAGGGACATGGCAAGGAAGTGGAATCTGCAATACACAAAACACGACTCCAGAACCCCACCACCCGCCTTGCCTCAATCAAAGAACCCCCCCCCCCCGTTAAATATTGCCCTTTCCGCATCTCCTTTCAAATTTCTCCCAGGCTGCCAGAACGGAGGCGATCTTTCCCCGGTGGCGGAATTCTACCCTGAGGATACAAATTCTCTGCAAATATCCTTTTTTCCCTTCCCTCCCAGTTCACTGGGCAGTGCGGGGGTTGGGGATGGAGTCCAGAATTTCGTTTTCCTTAACTGTTCTTCCCTCTACCATTTCTCCCTGGAGGAAACTCCTCTCAACAAACTCAAGATCACCTTTGAAAACAGCACAGATTTCTTCGGACGGGTGATTGTCTACCAGCTTGATGTTCGTGGGGTGAAACTTTGACTCTGGAAGTCCTCATGTGACTGTTTTTTTATTATTATTTTGTGCCTTTTTCACAACAGCCAAAACCTCACAAATCCAATTCTGGAGTTGTTGTGCGTTGCTTCTGAAATGGAAGTGTCTCTTTGCCCTGGTTTGCAACTCGAGGACATCCCATAATTTTACTTACGGCGGAAATGCAAGTTGTAAAAATAAAAAAATTGAATTTTATTTTGACTGAGATGATAAATATTACTAAAGAAACAATTGTTTGTTATCCAAATTAATGCTTTTGATGATACCAATGTAGACATAATGCCCAAAGAACTGGTCTTACATACGATCTTGGCAGCTCAAATAGTAATTGCAACTCAGTGGGAAACATCCCAAAATCTTACACCTGGAGGCTTAGTGCCACTCACTCTGGAAAATGGAGGAAATTTGAGATTTCAATGAGGACTAGAACCTCCAGGTGCTTTTTATGCAGTCTGGCATCCATTCGTCACATGGCCATCTGCACTGCAGGGGGTTGGACTAGATGACCCCTGGGCCCCTTCCAACTCTACAATCCTGTGATTCTATGTACGATGGGACAGTCATTTTCAAGACAACTCTTGTCACAAGTCTGGCAAATCTGAAACTAGACTTTCACTTGGACTTTTGTCATGTGCAACTGGGCTCATTCTGAGTGTCTGTCAGATACTTTTCTTTTTCACCTTTCCGTTGTCGTTCATTGTTCTCTCTGTTTCATATGCATCACAAAATGAAATAAAAATCTCTTTGCAACAAGAGGAGCCTGGATAGTTCAGTCGGTTGGAGCATGGCACTGGTAATTGCCAAGGCTGCAGGCTCCATCCCCGTGTGGGACAGCTGCATATTCTGCCTTGCAGGGGGTTGGACTAAATCGGGCACCCCCAAACTCGGCCCTCCAGATGTTTTGGGACTACAACTCCCATCATCCCTAGCTAACAGGACCAGTGGTCAGGGATGATGGGAATTGTAGTCCCAAAACATCTGGAGGGTCGAGTTTGGGGGTGCCTGGACAAAACAGTCCTCAGGGTTCCTTCCAACTCTGATTCTATGAAGACAGTCCATAATTTCAAAAGGTGTCTCCCCTTCCCAGGAGTGGCTGGCAGACTCCAAAAGCCAAACCGGGGCAAGTTTTCCACCCAGTTGGCTACCACTCCCTCCATTTGGGTGTTGCTGCTGATTTTAGGGCTATAAGCTGTGTGCACTCAGCTCTCACCTGTGGCTCCTAGATGCTGCTGGCATGTGACAGCAGCCACAATCCCAGGAACGGCTTCGACTGGCCAGCTAAGCCAGGTGAGGGGAGCCGATGGACCTCAAATCCTCAGGGAGTCAGGGGCTTCCCCTGCAGGTGAAGTCAGGCTCCAGGGGATGGAGTGACAGAGACCAAGAGGGGGTCCAACAGTCAAGAAGGCAGCTCAAGGGTCACCTCTCCCCATATGAACTTACCCAGACCCTGAGATCATCCTCTGAGGCCTTTCTTTGTGGCAACACGAGAACAGGGCCTTTTTCAGTGGTGGCTCCCCATTTGTGGGATGCTCTCCCCAGGGAGGCTCACCTGGCCCCTTCATTACATATCTTTAGAAGCCAAGCAAAAGCATTTCCCTAGAACCAGGCTGATTTTAGATGTTTGTGGGAGGGAGGACTTACTGGTTTCTTTGTTATAGTGTTATATATGTTTTTATACTGTAAACTGCTCTATGATCCTCAGACATAGGGTGGTAAATGTGGGGAGAATCAGAACTTACAGGGTTAAGAAGTTCTGAGTGACGTCTCACATTCTGAGGTGTGGCTTAGTGCACAGAGGGGAGTGTTTCTGTGTCTCAGTGTTGTTCCGGTTTGTCCTAGCGGAGAGACGCGCAAGATGAGCGCTCGATCACCAGGAGAGTTATGAGTTGTTTTTCTACACGATTAAAGACTGGAAAGAGATAAGCAAGAACGCTTGAGTGCAGCTTGATTTATTACACACACACAGCAACAGTTTCTACGCTGCGTACACTCTGCTACAGGTAGCTGACGGGAGAGCTGAGGGGAGCGCGCAGAGGAAGCGTGTGGACTCCAGCCAAGAGCTACATATTTCCATAGGTTATGGACGGTCAGAAAACGCTTTGAAGCTGTTGCCAAGACGTGCCGGTGTGTGTTGAAGCCAGCTGAAGGGACGCTGGAGCCAGCTTGGAGTCCTGCCTAAAGTTGAGAAAGGCAGAGGGGCTCGCTGGGAGAAGCTGATCTGCTGAACCGGGTGCTGCAGAGCTGCTGCTGGTTACGTGAGTACGCTGGACCCCGGGAGAGAAGATGGCAGATGGCCAGGAGGCGTTCGAAGTACCGTTCGAAAAGCTCACTACCCAGTCGTGGAATACCTGGGTTAGAAAAGTGAGAGGGTGGTTTTTGGCCACAGGGCTTTGGAGCATAGCCCAGAAAGAGCCAGCTGCTGCTGGAGATGCAGCACTGGTGGACAGAGAGCAGAGAGAGAAAGCTGTGAAAGCTGAGATCTGCATGTTGAAAGCAAGCGTACACCCTACGCTGCTGCCTCATTTGGAGGGCATTGAGTCGGCCTATGATGCCTGGAAAGTGCTGAGGCGTTTGTGTGAAAGCTCAGCAGGAGGCCAGGAGCAGAAGGAAGCCGAGAGCTCAGCCAAAAGCCCTGGAAGCCCTGATTTTACAGCCTCACGGAGTGCTGTTGGCAGAGTCGGGGGGGGGGCAGAGCAGCCCAAAAGCAAGTTTGGAAAGTTTTCCACTGTGTGTGAAGAGCAGGAATGCCGTTTCAGAGGGGGCGGGGCTGGCATCGAGACCCGGAAGCTATGCCAGCTGGGAGCTTACCCCAGTATTTTCCCACTCGTCTGTGTTTTGTTTGCGATTCTCCAGATCATCTGTGTCGCTCCTGCCCCCAGAGAGCCAGAGAGGCTGGGCAGGAAGTTTCCAAGGTCGCTTCCCATGGCAGTCAGCGAGTTTCCATGGCAGCCAGTCCAGGAGAGGAGGCAAGCGTGGGAAGGCGCAGGAAGAACATGCCACAGAGTGTGGGAAAGACTGTAATGTACTGTAATGGTTCTAGGGGTTGCTCGTGCATAAATCGGCACCACACCTTGCTGAGTTGTCTGAGTGAACCCTTTCTGTCCGGAGAGCCACTCACCTGTGGCTGTCTCAATCGCTGGCAGAATCCGTCAGTGGGCGTTTCTTGAACTTCTTCCAGCAAAGAAGCTCTTTGACACCTAGTCTCCGCCTACTCTCCCTGCGCGGAAGCCTTCTGCGCAGGGAGGGTGTTGGCAGCGGAGGACCCATGCTCTCCCCGCAGGTCTCTGGCAAGGAGTCATGGAGCCACCTCGCCGATTCCCCAATCTGCCCCCCTTCTCCACTGGTGCTACGCTGATTTCCTTCCCCAGAAGATGGGCTGCTTCTCTCCCTCCCGGGACGCTCTCCAGAATCCCTCTGGAGCCCTCCCTCTCGCTCTGGCTCCGATGGCAGTTCCCTGACAAATACCTTCCCCTTGGAGTCACCCACCTTCCTGGGCGGAGAAGGTCCCTTCCGCACACCGAGCACAAGCATAGCAGCAAACGGGCTTTCCTTCTAGAACCAGCTTGGCATATCCAGGTCGACATCTTTCTGTACACCTGGAACGAGGTACGGCCTAACCAGAAAGACAAGAAGGTGCAACAAAGAGGAACAGTTAGGAGTATTTGTGGGTATGTAATTCACTCATAGGGTAAATTGAAACTGATCTCTGGACTGCAGCCTTTGACCCCTCATCAGGGTCCTTTCAACCCCCCACTGACCATTGGGGTGACCAGAATATCTTGTTCTTCGTTCAGGACAACTGAGGTTTGCGCCACAGAACTCTGATTCCTCTTCTCCGTTTACCTGCTTCCCTGCTTTAAAAATCTTCAAAGAAGATAGCAATGGAGTCTGAAATGTGATTTCCCCAATTTTCAGGATTCTGATAATCTCTCAACCACTAATTTAGATAAATTTAATATGCATATAATATGACTTTTCCAAATATTGGTTTCCCTCACTCTGTTCTTGAGGGATGCAAGGTTTCCTCTTGTCGCTGATCTATTTCCCTAGTTATTTCTAGTTTACATGCCATTTCTTAACGTTAACCTTATATTACAATAGGGTTGTTGTTTTTTTAAATTATCATCTTTCACCAACAACTGTGAATGGTGTCTTCTCTGAGGACCTCTGGGCTCTATGCTTTCTGTGAGCATCCCAAATTTCCCACCTATCTCAGCTGCTGTGGAAAGAAGGAGTGGCCGTTGCAGCTGTTATTGGACGGTCAATACATCATTGGTCAACCTGATATAGTCATTTTGCAGCAGTTGTTCAAGGAAAAGCATATTCAGGATCTCCTAGCCTCCCCTCTCTGTGATTCCCCCTACCTTGTTGAATTTCTTGGGCCACTCAATGGCTTCTGGGTTAATGGTGAACTTTATGCTAGCAGACGTCTCTCTCCTTATATTCCCAATAACGACACAAGACTTATTGGGAGAGATCACCCAGTTCACGATATCAAAGTCTGCTGGCAGCTCCCAGTTCTCATCCAAGCACAGCCTGCCTCTGGAAGTATTCAGACACCGAATTTCTCTCAAGAAAGGGTGAAGCTGGAATGACAGGGGAAAGCACCAGCACTGAGAAAGCTGGAAGCCAAGATGGATATCTCAGTCCTACTCACTTCAACCTCTTATGATTTGGGGCCTGGGTGTATCTCATGTAGACTGGAATTCCTATTCAGCCATTTTTATTACTACAGACCCTGCAAGTGCCCCAATTTTCCAGGGATGTCCCTGGATTAGAGTCAGTTTTTCATTTGATCCCGAAATTCCCCACTTTTCCTTTTCTTCATTGGAGAAAAGTTGGCAGATTTGGAGTTATCCAATCCACAAGCCGTCCAATCCTGTATCGGGAATTTTAATATGTTTTATATTTTAGTATGAATTTCTTTATTTTGGGAGCTGCCCAGAGTGCTGAGGCAAGCCAAAAAGAGGTGTGGGATATAAACAGTGATATATTTCTAGCAAAAAGGGTGCCGGAAATCACCATGAACACCTCCCTCTGAGAATGGCAATGGTACCCGCCTGAGAGGTACCAGAACTGAGTTTGAGTGAGTCCCCCAGAAAAAAAGCCCTAGGTATCAACAGTAAAATTTTCATTATGGAATGGTATGTCCCTATTTTCATCAGAGAAATGTTGGGCGGTCTGCTACTATTACTAATACTAATAGTAATTATGATATGTTGCAGGTCTATCCCCAGTCAAGATCAGCATCTGTGTGGACTGCAGTTTGCAAAAAGGGGAAGGAAATACCTGCCACGGCTGTAGCCTTTGGGGTCCCCATTGCTCTCCTTCCTCCACCATCAGCAAAGCATGCAAGGCCTGAGCCACAGCTTGAACATGGATGTAAGTGCCATAGCTGTCTAGAGACAGGGCTCTCTCATGCACCCCTTGGGATAATGGCTCCAGTTTCTCCTCCTCTTTGCATCTTATCCTGCCTTTCACGGACAACAAATGCTTTGAATATGAACACTGAAATGCTTGATTGAAATAATCCCTAAGATTGAACTGCAATTTGTCACCTTTGCTGCTCCTTATTCCGGTCTGAATTGCAAAGGACAGAGAACCATGGAGGTGCTGGAATAAATTTGGAGGGATGTAAAAGCCATTTCTGATTTCTAGCAAAGATGTTGTGATCCAGACTTTTGCCCCTATTTCCTTCTCATATACCATGTTTATTGACAGGAGTATTATGATACCTAGTGCATTGGTTATAT